GTCCGTTTTGTACGTCATTTGTGTTGTTGAAGACCTGTGGTGGTTTTGGGTGAAATGAGCTCCATAATTTGATTTTCGGTTTTATCCCTTGTTATTCATTATATGTGCTTTTGTACCTGTCTAATTTCTTTCGGTTTTTCCATGTTTTGTCCCAGAGGTTTTCTTTTAATGGACATCCTTACTAATGTTTTCCTGTCTAATTTTGTAAATAGATTTGTTCATTTCTAACTATCTTTCACTTTCTATGTGAATGTGGTCTATTAATTATCTTTTTCTTGGGTTTAGTCGCTGTTGTTCGCTATGTTTTTATAATTTTAGACTAGTACTGCTATTTTTTTATTTGTGGCTGGGTTGAGTCAACGTCAATGATGTCTGTTGCTTGTTTTTTATTATTAGTTTTTGTAATGATTAAGATTAAAGGATTTTATTGTGAACTAATCGACACTTGATCACTGTACCGGGTCTCCCTGGTTTTTTTGCTATTTTGTCAGGAATTATCACAGTTCTTCTATCAAACTCCGATCAGAGTTGATGCCGGGTGTTGGTTTGCGAGTCGGTGAACTCGTGCTGAATCGGCATTGACTCATTTATTGGGTCCGTCTTCACTCGCAGGTTTGTGGAACGCGAAGCTGAAACGCGTTCGAGTTCAAGTACGCGCGAGTGAAAACCGACCAATGCCCGTTTTGCAAAACATCGATTAATTCTACATGTGTTCTACATCTACGGGTCTGTTAGAACATTATCTATGTTGTTTAAGTAAGTTTAATACCACTTGTCTTCTAGTTTATGAATTTCTCAAGCTAAGAGTAAATACAGTTCAGATTCGTGGTATTTTCAGCAGTTTTGTTGGTGAAGAAGGGCGCGAAAGGGATTTGTCAGTGTGTTAGGTTCGGGATCTTTATCTTGCAGACTCATGAGCCTGAATAAGTAAAATTAACGATAGTTACCCTCGGACCCCTGACCGCACATATTTGCATTAAAGACCTCATTACAGTCCATCTCGAGCCCAGATTCGTTTGGAATCATGGTTTTTATTATTCGATTTTTTCAATTTTACATGAATTTACAAAAAAAAAATTGATATCCTTCATAATATATTCAGTATCACTTTTGCATCATAAGAAATAAACAGATTTATGCAAGTAATATGTAATTCTTGTAAATCGCGCTTCTCCGAAATTAACACAGAAAGGGGATAATCAAATAGAAAACTATCTTCGTGCAGTAAAACGCTTGTCAATTAAAAACGAAGAAAACTGATCGTATCAAATGTCCCATAAGGGATTTCGACAAAATTGGCCATTCGTTGTTTGCCCGTTGGAGAGGATGTTGTAACTTCGATGTACCATGGTTTGAATGGGCTAATTACACCAAGGCGACTATCCCTCTTTGTTTGATGGGAATTTTCTTGACCGGGTAAGTATTGTTTGCACGGAAGAAAAAAAATACCCGTCAATTAGTCTCGTCTCGCAGTGCTGAACACCCAGAAACTTTCTTGCACAAACCTCACACTTTTCGGTTTGTGACTCAACACGATTATTTTATACAAAGACCATTTATTTCTTTTTCTATTTATTTAAAAAGTGAATGTGTAAATCGTAGTCAAAACGTGATCAAATAAAATCTCTTCGTCTAACATCATCAACAAATAAAAGACAAGTCCAATCTTCAAAATACAACCTAAAATAAATCGTATATATAACCAACATTCATTGATATTTATTTCTGATCACCAAGCACATAAGAATTGAACTGCATTTATACTTATTTATAAAATATAATTGTAATATTAAAAAAAGATTGATAAAATTGCTTCCAATATTTTAAGTACTCAACTTCAGACAATATTATTTATTTGTATAATATAAATTAATATAATAATACCCTGTTAAATCCACTGTTTTAAACAGCAGATGGCACAACTAGATTTTCTCAGAGAAATCATTATATTTGCAGTATCACCATGGGAAAAAATCAGTATACTACGCTATAACTGTAAAGATTTTTGGATTTTTACCTTGAAAACTATTCCAAAGATACTTGTTTTTTCTATTGAAACCTTAGCAAAAGAACAATGCATTTGTTAGATTTCAACTAGCGCATAAAATTGAGAGAAAAATGTAAGATTGACTAGATTGGTAAAGATGTACTTGCTTCCAATAGTTGCAAATTCAGTCATATTATTTATTTATATGGGATAACTAATATAATAAAACTCTATTTAATCCAATGTTTTAACAGCAGATGGAACAATGAGATTTTTCTTCATTATATTTGTAATATCGCCAGAGAAAAATAGGTATACTTCGCTGTACAACGATTTTTTTTTTAACTTGAAAACTTGTCCAGAAACGCTCTTTTTGCTTCGAACCCTTATCAAAACATTATATTTGTTAGATTACAATTAACACATAAAACAGAGAAAAAAATGTTCTGTCGAGAAAATTGGAAACTGAAGTAAACATAAATTTTCAGGGCAGAATAAAAGCCAAAAGCTATTAGTACTGTATTCAAAAAAAAAAAAAAATACATGAAAGTATAAGAGAACTTTACCGCTTTGGTTTTTACAAAAACAGTCATCCTATCTAATATATAGTATAATTTTTCTTGTAGACGATTCCATACTTTTATTTATAATTTGTTAAAAAGTAACAATAATAGGGGAAAAAAGGAGTGAAGATCGATCTGGACAAATTCGAATTTATTTTAACTTTTATGTGCAGGAGCAAGTTATCCTTTTCTTTGAATCAATGTAGTATGGATTTTATCCTATCATGGAAAATTATTATTGTCATTAATTAGGCAAAAACTTAATTTATTATACTTGTCATTATAATTGCCGTAATTATAAAATAATAATTCATAAATGAAGGTAATTTTATATTAAGATAATTTGGCATTTTGTTGAATTGAAACATTGAATAAAATCGTCTGAAAACATCAGAATTCCAGAAAACCGGGAACGTTGCACCGGAATTATCTAGTTCCTTGCCTTCCATTTCAATATTTTGTTAATTTTTCTTCTCTAATTTTTGTTTTATCATGTCAAGACTATAACTAATTTTCTTACATTTTGCTAATTTTATTTACAGTTCATTTTACTTATAATTCTTGTTTCTTCATGTCAAGAAAATAACTAATTTTTTAGTTTCTCGCCTTCATTTTCAATATTTTGCCAATTTTACTTACAGTCCGTTTTACTTCATGTCGAGAAAATAACTAATTTGCCTAGGAAATATTATTTAGATGGATTAAAGAATAGTTTCTGAATCAAATATCATACATTTTTTTGAAATACTTTAATATTTAAAACTCTAAGTAATTATTACGTAAAATTAACGTTAAGTTCTTTTAAATTTTGGTTAAATTAAGTTAATATATTAAGTTTAGTAAAAATTAGTTAGATAAATAAAAATTAGTACATTTCCGGGTATAGAAAAATCTTTCCTAACGGTTTTAACAATGAAAAAATACATTATATTCCATACATTTGTATTCTAAAATGAAATATTTTTTTTAGTGTTAAGTTTAATTTGTTTACTATGAATTCGCCAAAACTAGTTTTACAAGAATATTTTTTAATAGAATGGAAATAGTTTTAGTAATATTTTGCCAATATTATTTTTTTTATTGGTTTTAAAATTTAATTTCTACCCTTATTTCTACAGACAGTGCAAGAGACAGGAGCATGGAAAAACAAGATGTGATAAGTTGTCTTTTATTAATAATTTTATATTCCATTATTTACTTTTTTTAACCGATGTTCTTCAGTCAGCTTTTTTTTATCGGATAGCAACTATTCTCTTTCGTTTGTCAAATACATCTGGAAATATTAAATGACAGGAGAAACGAAGAATACGAGATGATAGGTTTTCGAAATATTATATAGTCAATGTTAAACTTTAAAAACTTTATACAACGAATAGAGGAAAATTATTTAATTAATTGCAGATTTGTTTACTATGAATTCGCAAACACTAGTTTATCAAGAAAATTTTTTAATGGAATGGAAATTGATGAACTGTTTTAGAAATATTTTCCCAATATTATTATTTTTTTGGTATTAAAATTTAACTTTTTCCCTCATTTCTACAGTCAATGCAACAGACAGTAGCAAGGAAAAACAGTATATGATGAGTTTTATTTGGTTAAAAATGTTACATTCAATTGTTTACTTTTTTAAATTGATACTCTTCAGTTAAAATTTTTTATCGGATAGCAACTATTCTCTTTCGTTTGTCAAATACGTCTGAAAATAATAAATGATAGGGGAAACGAAGAATACAAGATGATAGATTTTCGAAATATTATATTGTCAATGTTAAACATTAAAAATGATCTATAACGAATAGAGAAAAATTATTTCCGAGCTTAAGTTTATTACTGACAATATTTCATTATGAATACACTATGAATTCAAGAAAAATTTATTTGAAACCAAAATGAACAGCTATTTTTTGAAATTATATTTTGCCTTTACCGTTCTTTTATAGATGGTGAAATTTAATTACATTCCATTATAAATAGCAAGCTAATCAAAGTTTCGAGGGGTTATAAAGCAGCTAAATTCGATTATTCAATTATATTAAATTTAACTGATGTTAGTCATTTAGTAGTAAAAACTTAATTTCTTACAAATGTATAGACGACAGTGGTTCAGATGAATAAAAATCTTGTGACACTACATCACAGTGACAAATTTTTGTTAACAGATAATATTTTCCATTGTGAAAACTATTCATTTTAAAACGAAAATTGTATTTTTTTAATATTTTCGATAAGTTTTTGTAACTTTTTTGTTAATTTTATGCCCGGATGATTACAGCCTCTGGGGCCGACAAGTCATCTTCATTCCAGAACTATATTGTGAATGGGTAAATTTCCAAGGATCTACATTCTTTTTGTTAGTGAAATATACAATGTCATGCAATGAAATTGAGAAAAGAAAAGATTTTAATGTTTAAGATGAAGATGAAGAAGAAGAAGGCTGCGGTACTCACCGTCGGCGTACTGTGGCAGGAGAAGGCGCGAGAAGGGGAAGGAAGCTGCGCCCCATGCGGGCCGGTCCAGGTTGTTGCAAGTGCCGTCGTGCCGTCTGTAGCGCTCCTCCTGGCACGACTCTGAGGCGGAAAGTGCTCGGGCGCAGAACGGACCTATCTCGCTCAAAGAGACATCCAGCCGGGGGAGGGCCGCCTCCGTCTCGCGCCGGCTCAACCTGAACCTGCCGACCCACCGAAACTGCTTATTCACCGAAAGACAAGTCTCTCACTTATGGCAAATCTCTATGACGAATCTCAAACGTACGTTTAGAAATTTGTCCGAAAAGACCAACGGGCAAATCAAAAAACTGGCATTTTTACGAGCAACAAATCACAATTTTGTCGAAATATTGAAAAGTTGATGAAACCTCACATGATTTGAGGGCATAAACACAGTTCATAATTGTCATCATAAATGGAAACTCATAATAACTAGGGAAAATCATCCTAACAAGCAAAAACCTTTATAATTAGTAAAAACTACTTTAAAAAGTAAACGCAAAAATGAGTAAAATCCGTCATAACACTCAAAGAAGGTGCCTAGAAAGCCTGGAAAGTCCAGTGGGCAAATCACAAGACCTGTTTTTTTTTACGAGTTACAGATCTTGCATTTATCGAAATATAGCAAAATTGACTATACTTCACGAGATTTGAAGACATGAAAAAAGTTCATAGTAGTCATCATAAAACTAAACTCAAAATTGCTAGGGAAAATCATCTTAACAAGCAAAAACCTACAAAATTTGTAAAAACTGTATAAAAAGTAAACGCTAAAATGAGCAAAATCCATCATAACAATCAACGGAGGATCCTGGAAGGCATGAAAAAACCAACGGGCAAAACAAAAACACTGGCATTTGTACGAGCAAAAAAATCATAATTTTGTCGAAATATTGAAAAGTTGATGAAACCTCACATGATTTGAGGGCATAAACACAGTTCATAATTGTCTTCATAAATGGAAACTCATAATAACTAGGGAAAATCATCCTAACAAGCAAAAACCTTTATAATTAGTAAAAACTACTTTAAAAAGTAAACGCAAAAATGAGTAAAATCCGTCATAACACTCAAAGAAGGTGCCTAGAAAGCCTGGAAAGTCCAGTGGGCAAATCACAAGACCTGTTTTTTTTTACGAGTTACAGATCTTGCATTTATCGAAATATAGCAAAATTGACTATACTTCACGAGATTTGAAGACATGAAAAAAGTTCATAGTAGTCATCATAAAACTAAACTAAAATTTTGTCACCTCGAACTTCCTGGAGCAGATGAATCGCTTGAAAAAAAGTAAGGTGCCGGTTTTGCGAAATTCTCGAAGTCAAAACACGATCATCCTGTGATTCTGTTACCCTAGGGCGTCCAGAACCGGGCCTTCTATGGTAGGACCCAGTTTCTCGTCTAACATCGTCTCGCAGTGTTTCGTAGGGAACTCCGATGGCAATAGCCGCATACCTGATGGAACGTCCATCATCAATAGTTCCACACCACGCGCAACATCCTCAGCATTAAGTTGCATTTTTAACTTTAAAAATTGAAATTAAAAAACAAAGATGAAAACTTAACAGTTTATAGCTTCAGAATTCAAATGAGACCGAATAAACTATTTAAATTCCGTAAAAAGTAAACATTGAAAAATCCTTTATCCTTGTTTTGGGTTAAAGATTAAGTGTGTTTACGTCTAATTGATATTCCCAATTTAAAACATAGCATAAACAAATATTTGTTGGTAAAAACGATGAGACATATTAAGTGCAGAATTTCATTTTATCGAGAAAATGAAAAAATAATCAATTGGGTGGAATTTTTGCTGTGATTGTACACAGGGTGGGCCATTTTTTGACGCACCATTGGAAAATCAACGTGGGCGCGTTTAAATCTGACTCAAGGCTATTTCCTTTGACTGATACGTTAATAAAAGTAACTGAGACAATTTTCGGTGCACCATAGGAAAATCAACGTTGGTGCGTCTAATTAGGACTCGGCACATTTTATTTTGATAGTCTCGTACCAAAAAATAGGCGACTCACTTTTCGATGCACCATTCGTTACAAATTAGTTTTAGTAGGTTGGAAGGAAAATAAACAAAACCAATATTATTAACACGTTATTCAAACACAATGTAAAAATAATAAAAAAAATTCTTCACAAATTAATTTGATTAAGGTTTTTTTTTTTTTCCCCCGATCATCGTTTTACGATAGACTAGGATACTGTGTTACAGCAAATGGAGGTCTGTTCGAACAATTATTATAATGATTTTAAACATTTTTGGTTTGCTAACAAAGGAGTGTTACATTTAATTTTGTTACTTTACCAGAAAAAAGGAGATTGTTACATTTATTTAATTTTTTTACTNGGGTGGGGAAGGAAGTCGGTATATAAAAGACAATTTTGTGTAAGGCGTCGGCTTCTTTGAAGTGAAAAATTTGTAACGAATGGTGCGTCGAAAAGTGACTCTCCTATTTTTTTGGTACGAGACTAACAAAATAATGTGCCGAGTCATAATTAGACGCACCGACGTTGATTTTCCAATGGTACACCGAAAATTGACTCACTTTCTTTTATTAACGTATTAATCAAAGGAAATAAGCCTCGATTCAGATTTAAACGCACCCACGTTGATTTTCCAATGGTGCGTCAAAAAATGACTCGCCCTGTATGTACTGTACTGAAATCATATAAATAGACATTCATTCATTTATTCGTTCAACACAAGGACAAATCTCGACAAATGACATAATAAAAATAAGGATATATTGAAAGATGTAAATATAAAGGGACTGTTTACACGATGTAAATTGAATGAACGTTGCGCGCAGAGAGAGATAGACGGTAACAGATGGCAGGTTGCCAACTCTAGATCTGATAGAGTGTGGACCAAGTCAGCAGGTCCAGAGGGGCCATTAGCAGCCCTTATCTAGCATCCCTTGACCGCCCCTGGCTAAACCTAAAGCATTGCCAATACTTTGTACACCTACCGACACCCCGACCAACTTCTTAACAACTCACTTCCAGATAAATCCCCGAATCTCACCACCTACAGTCGTTCCAAATCCTCTCTTCATCAAACCGTTTTTTTTACTGCTAATAACACTTTTCCTTTCTTTCAAATAATAAAGTTAAATTAGCCATAATTTTTCATCTTTATAATGTACTATGAAACGAAATTTTTGCTTTCTTTCAAGATTACCTAAGACTAGAACGTTTTAATTTAAATTTTACTTGTGTTCCTACTGCTCATTTTTTATATCAAATGCTATAGCATTTATGTTAGTACTAACTAAAATTTGTTACTTTACGTTATCACACATAGGTTTAATTGTATTATTTATTAACATTTTTACTTAATATGGTCAATGGCAATGAACATTAATATTTGAAGCGTTTGTTTTGTTTTCGTAATTTGATTTTATCTACCGTTTTAATTATCTATATCTAATTGTACAATAATAGAAATAATGTGTGGTGTTTAGTGACCGTTAGCCAATGATTATTTGGAAACCGTGAGGTGCCGTTGGTATGACGTAGGTTTTAGAAAAACATTTTCTTTATCTTGCCAACGTTTCGATCTTTATTGAGATCATCTTCAGGGCCTGGGATTTATAAATATTGTTTAAATTTTACAAATACATGTAGGATGTGAAAAAATGAATTTATACAATGCAAGAAACTTTTAGATTTAAAAAAAATGAATTTATACAATGATAGAAAATTTTTGATTTAGAATAAGGATGGATTTATACAATGCTAGAAAATTTCAGATTCAATCAAAGTATTTGTTTTCCGTGTAGATGTGTCATTCTTGTGTGTCGTGTTGAGAGTGCCAGTGAGATATTGTTGTTTTATGTATATATACGTTGGATTTTGAAGGAGTGGGGATAGAAGACATTTTTATATGAGGAGTCGGCTTCTTTGAGAAGAAAGGAGCCGACAAAAGGGAAAAATGGTTAATGGTTCGGCCTGATTATTCTTTCAGGATTATTTTTACGGAAATAATTAGAGAAAGGAAAGGCAAATTGTTCAAAAATTAAACTATGTAGAAATATTTTGTGTGTGGAATGTGATGCTGTATTATATATTTTGTGTGATGTGATGATGATATATGTATGTTATCGATGTAGAATTTGATTAATGATATTAGCGAAGCTGCGACTGATTGTTTTGAACTACATTTGAAAAATTTAAACAATTTGCCTTTCCTTTCTCTAATTATCTCCGCGTCTGTTCTGTAATTGATTCTCTTCATGTAAACCATTTCTAAAAAGTTATGTTTGTTTTGTCCTGTGTGTAATATTTTTGGATTGTTAAAGTCGAAATTGAGTTGGTGTTCAAAATGGTGGGTAGACAGTGCTGTAGGATTTTGTTTGGGTTTTTTCCAATCATAGATATGTTGTTTTGCAGTAAAACAACATAAATTTTAAATTTTAAATCCAAAATTGTCGGTTATTGTACAATTTTTTTCACATCCTACATTTGAAAAATTTAAACAACGTTTATAAATCCCAGGTCCTGAAGAAGATCTCAATAAAGGTCGAAACGTTGGCACAATAAAGAGAACGTTTTTCTAAAATCCGCTAGTTTTCGTGGTCCGCTTGACCAATTAATATCTTTCAATTAATTAAGGTTTTTAGTTGAGATAAAAAAGTCAATGTCACGAGCGGGATTCGAACCCACGACCTTCGGCTAGATACGCCGCTGCTCTACCACTTGAGCGATCGTGACTTCGATCCACTCGGCCACTAACATCCCATCTCAACCCCACCTTTTGAATTTTCCCTCCTTTTTGCCATTTTTCAAAAACCTACGTCACACCAGACCGCACCTCACTATCTCCAAATAATCAATATTAATAATACAACTTTAGAGCATAAGGAAAATAAATTCCTCAAAAATGAATATGGATATTTGTAATTTATTCTTATTCTATTAATTTTAATTAAATTAGCCGTCATATTCTTGTTAGTTAGATAAAACAAAATAGAAAATACAAGCCAAAAACAAAGAAACGTGTAATGCCCATTTTTAATAACGGATTTACTTAAGAATAGTAAACATGAGGATTACTCATTTGTAAACAAACAACTTTTCTCGTCTTTTCTCAATTTTAACCCAGTTGTATCTCTTTAACCATGGAAAGACATCATCTTGAACCAGAAGTTCGCAATATTATTGTGAGGCG